CTGCGGCTGGCACAGCTCAAGGTGGAGCTGGAGCGGGCCACACAGGTGAGAGTGCCAGGCTGCACAGCAGGGACCAGCGCACCAGGACTGGGCCTCTGGGCGGAGGGCCTGAGCTACAGCTCCGGGTTCCATCTGGGCCTAGCTTTTACGTGGCCTGTCATGTCCCTGGCTTCGGCCTGACCTAAGGACAGGAAGGTCTGGGCCAGCATCCTGCACTGCCCTCACCACAGCAGGCCCTCTGTCTTCCTGACCCTGTGCCTTCTCTCTGTTCTGGCCAGCGGCAGGAACGCTTTGCTGAGAGGCCGGCCCTCCTGGAGCTGGAGAGATTTGTGAGTGGGGGCAGCTGGGGTGGGAGCTACTGTGCCCCAGCCTTAACCCCTGTGGGTCTGGACCAGGAGGGTCACACTGACCTGCCCCCTTGTCTGCCCCGCCCTGAGTTCTCAGCCCACTGGCTTCTGACCTTGCCTGCTGATTCCAGGAGCGCAGGGCCCTGGAGCGGAAGGCTGCGGAGCTGGAGGAGGAGCTGAAGGTGGGTGTTGGGATGCTGTGGGCGGGTCACAGCCTGCCCAGGGCTGCCGGCTGATTCTGTTCCATACCCAGGCCTTGTCTGATCTCCGGGCTGACAACCAGCGGCTCAAGGACGAGAACGCAGCACTGATCCGGGTCATTAGCAAACTGTCCAAGTGACTTGGAGGACTTTTCCCGCACCCGTATTTATACAGCTGCTTCTGCCACACGCACCCTTCCCCGAGTGAACACGAGTGACAGGGCTCCAGGGGAAGTCACTGAGAAGCCATACTGCCTCTTGGGGCCTCAAGACTGGGAGGGAAGCTCAGAGTTCCCAGGAGCCAAGGGGGCCATCTGAGGCCAGGATGGAGGTGGGAGGCTGAGCCAGGTAGGGGGATGTTGCCAAGAGGGGACTGGGGCCAGAAATGGGACCAGAAAGGACACAGGACCAAGAATTGCCAGGGTAGTAGTCAGGACCAGAGTGGCTGTCCCGGTGGTCCCCACCTCACGTGTGATGCCACCCCAGCACTCTCCCCCTCCCAAGCAGGGATCCAGCAGTGTGCCAAGAGACCCACCGGCCTCCGCCAGGTGGGCCTGTATATAGGGTCCATGTGCAATAAGGAGGGATGTCTTCTATTTTTTGCTGCCCCCTCCTCACCCATTGTCTGGGGAGGGGGAGAAGGTATTTTCAAGATAAAGCACAGGCACCACAAATAAAAGTCGTGATGTTGCCAATGGCTTTGTCCCAGCTGGTGGGACGCTGTCTCCTGCTTCTGTGACCAAACCAGTGGGCCAGTTGGGGGTGGGGTGCTGAGGGTTAAGTGCTCTCGGAGTGGGGTGGCCACTTTGGAAAGAGTAACCAGCTGGAGCAAAGACCCCCAGACCAGGCTAACATGACCACTGGCAAGGTGGGCAGGCTCACCTGGGAAGGACCACCAGCCCTGAGCACAGCTGAGGGACTCAGGGTTGCCACAGTCCCTTGGAAGCAAGTCCCATTTAAAATGAGGGGTGATTGACAGGGAAGTCTGGGGTCTGGGCTTCTCTGGAGGGAGGCGGCTGGCAGGAGAGTGGTCCTGCAGGGGTGTCTTCTAAGATGGGCTTTGCACATGTGCCTGCTCGGCAAATTCTGGCCACATCCTATGGGCCAGGTCCTGTTCTGCCTGCTGGTGTTTAGTGGTGGACAAAACAGATGAAGATCTAGTGGGCTCCAGGAGGGGAGGCATCCAGGGACAACATGGACATATTTTATCCAGTGTTCAGGGACACTCTATGAAAGTGACCAGCATGGACAAGGAGAGTCAGCTCTTATTGTGCTCAGTGCATGCAAAGCATGACCTGGGTCCCTCTGGGGAGTAATGTCTTGGCCCCTTCCTCAAGGAACTTACAATCCAGGAGGAAAGTGAGCAGTGCTCAAAAGAACAACAGAGTCTCTGCATAAGAGGGTAGACTCTGTCCTTCCAGCTGCTGGGATGGGGCTGCACAAAGGTCTTAGTTCTCTGATCTCATCTGGGCAGGCCGTGGGACCCCGAGGTACCTACAAGGGCTGCTCCCGGTGATGGTTCTGTGAACAGTTGTCCGCTTCTAATTCTTACCAGGGGTGGAAACCAGGCGTGCTTAACCACTGAGCAACACCCCTAGCCCTATTTTTAAGATTTTATTTGGAGATAGGGTCTCACTAAATTGCTGAGGCTGGCTTAGAACTTGCGAACCTCCTGCCCTAGCCTCCCCAAGCCTCTGGGATTACAGGCGTGCGCCACTGCGCCTAGTTTTTCTGCCAACTTGATGTTTGTGGAGCGATTGGAAGTCTAGCTTTTTGCCCCGCTCCGCGGTAACAGTGAGATTCTGGAAAGCTTGAGGTTCCTGGAATTATGAGTCCCAGGGCTTCCTGTGCACCGAGTCCTGGGGGAGAAGCCCAGAGCTTGGCCGCCCTCGGGGGCTGCCTGCTCTTCCCGCCGGAGACCCTGCTAGCGCCGCAGCTCGCAGGAAGCGGCCTTCCGGGAGGGAGTCCTTCACGGCAGACTGGCCGGCTCTTCCGGCCTCGGGCTGCCTTCCTCTCGCCTCCAGCCAGAGGGCGGGAGAAGGCTTGCACCGGTCCCACCAACACACGTGCCAGGGATCAGTAATTCTGGATGAGGGAGACCAGAGGTAGGCTGAGCCCAGGGCCCAAGGTCAACCTGGAGTTCGGAGCTAGGTTGTGCAGACACTTCCGCGGCCAGGGGAGCGAGCCGTCTCTGCTCCAGGGCGTTCTCGCTGCCCCATCCACGTCCTTCCTCTGCCCCCTTGTCCCTCCCTTCTCGGTCCCCTCGGGGACTCTGTGCGCGGGTTGTTCGGTGCACCCCCTCCCAGGGTCTGCGGTGAGCGCGTCCCTCGCCCCGCCCCTCCCGCGGCCGGTCACGTCTGCCCCCTCCTCCCTGCAAATCGGATCCAACTCTGCGCTGCCCAGTCTAGCCTGGCCTAAGACGAAGGCTAAATGGTTCCAGGGTCAGAGAAGGGCTCTGGCGAGAACTGCGGCCACCAGAGGAAGGCAGAGGATGCGGAGCCTGCGGAAGGCAGGGCGCGGGGAGCAGGGAGCGGACTGCACACTATCCTGGGGCTTAGGAGCTTTAACGGCCTCCGACGATGCCAGCGCTTTAGTTAATCTTTGGTACTGGGAAAAAGTTTATTAGGAGGGTGTCTGACCCGAGCCCTTGGAGGAGATGATCTGAGCATTCTCGAGAACGTTCTGGGCGCGAGGGCACACACTTGTAATCCCAGCAGGTCACGAGGCTGAGGCAGGAGGATCACAAGTTCAAAGCCTGCCTCAGCAATTTAGGGAGATCCTGAGTCCAAATAAAATATTAAAAAAGCGGGGGGTGTGGGTCAGTGGGTAAGCGCATCTGGGTTCCACCTGGGCATCCACCGCCACCAAAACAATAGCCAGCGCAGCCGTGCACGCCTTTCATCCTAGTGTCTCCGGAGGCCGAGGCAGGAGGATCACAAATGCAAAGCCAACCTCAACAATTCAGCAAAGCCTTAAGCTATTTAGCGGGACCCTGTTTCAAAAAAGAGACAAAAAAGAATAGAAGAAGAACACCTGTTGGATTACCCGGTGAGGAGTGTTTTCGGGGTTCCTCTGCTGTGAGGCTACTCCTCCCCCTTCCCACACTGTCCTCTTTGGAAGGAGTCACTGTGGACAGCCTGTGAACGGCTTGAACTCCTGCTTCAAGGCTGGGCTAGCTGAGGCTCAGAGGTGTAGCAGCTGGCCGCCTTCATAGGGCCGATGCTTGGTTCAGCGAGGTGGAGGGCTCAGCGACAGAGACACAGCACGAGGGGAGTCGGGGGTGGAGCAGGGGGGGGACAGGAGGCCGACCAAAAGGGGCCCTAGGAGGCCAGGCACAGATGGAGACCAGGATCCAGACAGCCGGACAGTGGAGGGCTGCGACTGGCAGAGAGGGAGAAGCACCAAGAAGATTCTTTTCTTTGTGGTGCTGGGGATTGAACCCAGGACCTCACGTGCACCCTTAGCAAGTTCTCTTCCACGGAGCCACACCATAGCCCGGTAGACTTTTCTTTTTCTGGTACTGAGGATTGAATCTAGGGGTGCTTTACCACTGAGCTATATCCTCCTTAGTCCTTCGTAATTTTTTGGACTTTTCCAGAGGGTCTCAGTAATTTGCTGAGGTTGGCTTTGAACTTGTGATCCACCTGCCTCAGCCTCTCAAGTAGAGTTCCTGGGCATGCCCAGCAAGAAAAGATGAAACCCTCTTAAAGATAAGAGTACTTTTCGGGAAGGGTGGTGCACACGTGTAATCCCAGCTCCTCAGGAGGCTGAGGCAGGTGAATGCCAAGTTCCAGACCAGCCTCAGCAACTTAGGGAGATCGTGTCTGAAAATAAAAAATAAAAAGGGCTGGAATGTAGCCTGGTGGTGGAGCTCCCTGGCTTCAACACCCAGCACTGTTAAAAAAATAAAATAAAAAAGAGCATTTCTATGGTGAGAAATTCTAATATACAAAAGCAAATAAATACATCCAAATTTCCATCTCATCCTCAGGATACACAGCTGGAGAGCTGAGTGTATTTAAGAGAGAAAAATATTTCCTTTTCCTGTTTTCATTAAATACACAAAGGCAGCCCAGGGAGCCCTACATGCTGCTTCACCTGCTGTCCATCATGGAGGACGCATGGGGAGGAGACGCTGCAGCTCTGGCCTTCCTGAGGCCGCCCTGGGGTGGAGGGACCAGAGACCCTGACAGCACCTGCTGCTGTGCCTGAAACCTCAGAGCTGCTCAGAGTGGGAGACACTGGTTTCCATGCAGTGTCTGCCACTGTCCCCAGGCCCTTCCCCCTTGATCTGGCAGATGCTTGCCTGGCCTGCTTCTAAGAGGATTGGGACAGGTGGTGAGCTAGACTAGGTCAAGGGCAGGGAACCTGTGGGGAGGAGCCCAGGTGGAGGAGGGAGAGGCCAGGGAAGGAAGGGAAGGAGGCCCTGGGTGGAAAGGGCACAAGACTGTCCGGGGCTGGCGGGTGGCTCTGGGCTGCAGCACTGGCCTAGCACATGTGCTCCTGGGCTCAGCACCGATCACTGAAAACACAAGGCCCGATCCCACGCAGCAGGCTCCCCACAGTCTCATGGCTGTCCGGCTGGGCACTTGTCC